TTATCTGGCTGTGGAACTAGAGGTTGGAACTTCAGTCCCTCACTGTATATCCAGAAGGGCCAGCCTCTGTGGCTTTGGGCAAGCTGCACAGTCCCAAGGCAGCCCCAGAAGAAGGGAATAGGAAATCACTTCTGCGTATTCGCTACCTAGAAAAGCCTGAAAAGGGATGCCGTAAGTCAGAATTGACTTGAGGACAGATGAGGGTGATTAAAACCCATCCACCGGCACCCCAGAAGAAGGGAATAGGAAATCACTTCTGCGTATTCGCTACCTAGAAAAGCCTGAAAAGGGATGCCGTAAGTCAGAATTGACTTGAGGGCAGTTGAGGGTGATTAAAACCCATCCACCGGCGCCTTGTGCCAATGATTAGCTACTGATTATTCCAAACCAAAGGATGGGTTTGGAGTGAGGGACACAGAACTGAACGCATCTCACAGAAGCAGCAACCCTGGAGTAGTACCGAGCTTTGCAGAGGTACATAAATCTTAGGGTGGGAACCCTAAAAGTTGCTTTCAGACTTAACAGAGGTCTTGTGAATCGGTGACCTCCAAAACCTCCTACCATGAACAGCTCAGGTCTTGCAAACCCTATGTCTATCCATCTCCTATTTAATCTTGATGTTTTCAATTTTTCTCCATCAGTATTTTTCCCCATACTGTTTTGCCTTTCGGTGATGTTGTCCAAGGCATGATAGCCTTCACTTTAATTTCTTATAGTGCCTCCTTGAGAGGGGCTGGACCCGATGACCCATAGGGTCCCTTCCAGCTCTGCATCATCTTCGAATTGAACTCCCAGCCTCTGGCTCTCCACGTACCCCACTGAGCTTGCTGTGGTATGGAAGGGAATGGGCTCGGAGTGGGCTTGGCTGGCTGAATGCTCCGAACAGGAGCATTTAGCCATGAAGCATTGGGTTGCATGTCATGGCTTCCAAAAGCCTTGTTAAGCGTTTTGCAGCAAAAAAATAAACGAGTCCTCCAGCCGCCCCTTAACTGCTGATTGATGTACTGTATTCACTCTGCGGCAGTCAGTGGCCGCGGCTGGAGGGGTTAAAGCCACAGAGCTTTCGCGCCTAGAAAGGTCCAGAGAGCGCAAGGGGTGGGGAAGCGGAAACCCATAGTCCATTTCCTGTCCCACACGCTTCTTTTCCCGGGTGAGAAACTGCCCTTTGTGTGTTTCTCGGTCCTCGGAGGAATGGAGGGGCTTTGAGAGGAACCCGAGGAGTTTGAAATGCAAAGACGGAAAGGCGAGTTGCAAGCCGGGAAGGGAATCCTAAGTTTGTCTGTTGCCTGGAGGGGATCTATAATGAAAGGGGATCAAGCGGGGATCCAAAGAACGGTCCCTGCCCTCCTACTTTCACGTTTTGGGGGGGAATCATTCAATACTTTTACTGTTGGGATTCCATATATAGTTATTTCGGATCAAATTAATAAAGTAAACGTCTGCTTTTGAGTAGACGCCTGTCGTTTACTCATTTACTTATCTAGCCTGCTTCTTCATTGCATTTATATCCCATGTTTTGCCAAATGTGATACAGTGGCTTCTCCCCCACTGTTGTCCTCGACAACGATACGATCCTATCAGGTGGGTCTGGTGGAAAGAAAAGGGGGTGCGGGTGGGGTAGATCGCATGTCTCTGAGTGAGATTAATGGACCAGTGGGGGGTCTTGAACCTGAAGCTTCTGAGATGAGACTCCCAGGAAACAGTTTGTGACCCCTTTTCTGGTCACAGGATGGGAACCTGTGTATTAGAGGCGTTATGTTGCGTCTGTCAAAACTGAATTCTGTCTTTCATCTGCAGCGGTACAAGCAGGAACAAAAATGTCCGGGACTCATGCATTCCTGCCTGGAGCTGCTTCAGCACAAAACAAGCAAGAACTGTATGAAGAGCTACGAGCCCAGAAAGACTCAAACCCAGTTCTTTCTCCTTATTCAGTGTGGAGGCCATCGCGGTTATTGGAGCCTGTCCCGAAGGAAGAGATGAAGGAGTTTAAGTCTCCTTATCAAGCTGTGAAGGACCCCAGTCAGTTGGCCAGAGAAGGAATGAGGACACATACTTTGCCTGGCCTTGGTGCGAAAACCCGAGAAGCCTCTGAGAGTTCAGGACATTTCGGAAGACCAAAGGGACAGATCCCAACAGAGGAGGATGCTCACTCCTTGGAGATCAAGCGTCAGCACTTCCGGCATTTCTGCTACCAGGAGATTGAGGGGCCCCGAGCGGTTTTGAGTGAGCTCCAGGAACTTTGCCACCAGTGGCTGGTTCCAGAGAGACACACCAAAGAGCAGATTGTGGACCTGGTGATCCTGGAGCAGTTTCTGACCATCCTGCCTCTGGAGATGCAGATCTGGGTCTGCAAAAGCGGTCCGGCCACCTGCGCCCAGGCCCTGGCCTTGGCCGAGAGCTTCCTCCTGAGGCTGCAGGAGTCTGAGAACTGTGAACAAAAGGTAGGGATGTTGTTAAAGGGGTTCGCTGTCCTCAGGTCTAGCTGAAACCACTGAAAAGGCGATGCCACAGATATCCTGCGTATGGGTTTTTCAAGGGCGTTTGGATGTATACTGTGTGGGAGCCAAATGAGGAAAGTGTCGGCATGGACGGATGGCATTAGGGTTAGAATTTTGGGTGGAACTTAGACGATCAAGGTTTTAGTCCCTATGAGCTGGGAAAGGAAATTGTGACCTACCTCATAAAGTTGTTCTGAGGATAAAACTGCACTACAGTGGTGCCCCGCTTGATGATTACCTTGTTAGACGAGGAAATCGCTTAACAATGTGTTTTTTGCAATCGCTTTTGCGATCGCTTAACAATGTTTAGATAGGGAAAATTCGTTTTACGATGATTGGTTCCCTGCTTTGGGAACCAATTCGCTTAACAACGATCAGAAAACAGCTGATCGTCGGTTTCAAAATGGCCGTCCGCTGTTTAAAATTGCTCCCGCTGTGTTTAGGAAGGCTTTTTCGCAAGACAGGCACCGGACAATGTCCGCCCTAGGGAGGATCTTCGCTGGACGCTGAGGTATTTCACCCACTGGAGCGCATTGAACCGGTTTTCAATGCATTTCAATGGGTTTTTTCATTTCGCTTGATGAAAATTTTGTTCTACAGCGATTTTGCTGGAATGGATTATCCTCGTCAAGCGAGGCACCACTGTACGTCCTGAATAGGTTTTTAGATCCCTGCAAGGCAGCTTTTCCTAGTCTAGTACTTTGCAGATGTGTTGGACTACAACACCCATCATCCCACCTTTGCTTTCACTTAGAGAACACTCTCACCCCACAGGGACGCCTAGCATGTAAAAAAGTTTCAGCTTAGTTTCAGCAAGGACGACACATCCTGTGCTTCCAAAGCTTTTAAGCTGTGGACCTCTCAGTGAGTAATGCACCCTTATATTTCAGGGGACTGGATTAGTGGAGGAGGCATTTGTTCATTCTCCGACCTCAGAGCAAGAGATGTCGGACGCTGTGGAAATCTGCATCTCTGCAGAGGAAGAGGAGGAAGCCATCTTGATGGGTAGGACTGACCTTTTGAACTCGCTCCACCCTCAGCACCCAGGGTCTCGTCTCATTTTGGAAGCTAAGCAGGGTCAGAGCTGGTCAGGGCTGGGATGGGAGATTCCAAGGGAGCACCAGGGAACTCCAGGTAGGGCAAGGAAAGAATGCTGTATCAGACCTTGGAGAACCAATTGTTGCCAGAGATTAGAACTGCTGGAGAGCTCTGTGGTTGAGGCATCTGGCTGTGGAGCCAGAGGTTGGGAGTTCAATTCCCCACTGTGCCTCCTTGACAGAAGTTAGTCTCAGTGATCCATAGGGTCCCTTTCAGCTCTGGAATTCTAAGGTGATGATGATGATGAATACAGTGGTGCCCTGCATAGCAACGTTAATCTGTTCCAGGATTATCTGGACACATCGCTGTACGGAACGTAAAACCATTCTAAGGTGATGATGATGATGATGATGAATATATTAGCAGTGGCAGGTGAGAAGGATGAATTGTCTAACTGAGTATAGCACAGCTTCCTAAGTGCTACCGTTCCAGGATTATCTGGACACATCGCTGTACGGAACGTAAAACCCCATAGGAACGCATTAAACTCAGTTTAATGCGTTCCTATGGGGGGAAAACTCACCGGTAAGCGAAAATTCCCCATCCGGACGCCATTTTCGCCGCCTCGGTAAGCAAGGGCAGGGCACGAAAACGCTGCGGGCGGCCATTTTCTGCACCCGGTGGCCATTTTGGAACCGCCAATCAGCTGTTTTCTAAACATCGCAATGCGAAGATCGGTAAGCAAACGCTTACCAATCATTGCAATGTGATGTTTTGCTACCTAAAACATCGCAATGCAATCGCATTAGCGATCACAAAAAACGTGTCATTATGCGGATTCGTCGTTAAACGGTGCGCTTGTTAAGCGAGGCACCACTGTATACTAGCAGTGCTAGGTGAGAAGGATGAATTGCTAACTGAGTATAACACAGCTTCCTAAGTGCTACCATTGCCCACTGATTCAAGCAGGGTGGCCACCTTTGGCACCATAATTATAGCTGTCCCAAGAGGCAAATTATTATTTAATTCCTTTTATTGTATTTCGGCTGCCAATCATGGGAAAGGCACTTGTGGGACCTCCTGCCTCAAGCCTCCAAATAGTTTGCCTAGGTTTGGGTGCTGTGTGTCTGGAGTTGAGTGAGCAGGGAGCACCCTTTGCCTCTTGGCCTTAGGCGGCAAAGTAGGTTGGGGCTTCCCTGGGGCCTGCAGCAGGCAGATGCTCAGCAGGGAGGAACTGCCTGTTCCCTTGAGTCTAGAGTTCATTCACATGCAAAGAAAATGCATACATGAGGCAGAAGAACAAAGGAGGAGACGAGGCAAGGCAATACACACATTAGGCACAACAGCAAACAAGAGGGCCGCAAGATGGCAAAATGTGTTCCAACCAGAATTGGCCTCTTGCCGGATACTCTGCTCCACCACTGCCTAAATGCTTTTCTATTTCCCTTCTTCAAGAGACGGTTAGCATCTTAGGCCCAACTGAACATCCTCTGTTCTCCTGGATCTGTTTCAGGGAGTCTTTGCAGTAGGTTTTTTTCCCCCTCTTAATGTTGCCTGTTCTGCAAATTGCGACATTCTTCCTCCCCAAAAGGACATTGAGGCTTCCTTTTGGTTTCTCATTAGCTCTCGTTTGGGTTTGGCTGACAATCCTTTCAAGCATTTATCAATCTGTGAATTTGCTGTTTAGAAAGGAACTATTGGATGAGAAGGAAATGTTGACAATTTAATTGTGTATCATTGCTTTATTATTATTTTAGTGAAAACTACTTTAAGACATAAAGCCTGCTGATGATCTACTGAACCCCCTAATGCTTAAAGCACTCTCTGAGCAGTTTAAAATTTAAATATGCGGGCTACACATTGCTCCCCACCAGCACCTTGGGTCCCTTTATTGTGAGAAAGACAGCCTATAAATAAAGCAAATGAAAGACATAAAAATTAATGTTCTAACCTCAGAAGGATGGTGGAAGACTGAATTATTCTCAAACCAGCTTCCTTGAGCCCCTTGGGATTGAACTCAGGTTGGGAGCAGAGTCTTCACCCTGCATTTCAATGGGCTTTTTACTGCCAGGTGATTTCTTAGGTACCGTCGCCTAAGGAAACTTGGGTCATCTGAGTTCGTGATCCAGCTGTGATTTTGAAAATCATGTCTGCTTTTTAAACCCTGTTTCTCGAAATGAGATGGACTTGTTTTCCGAATTTGCAGGCGCTCCTGCCGCTCCTGTGCCAGAGGCTGGGACCAGTCAGTTGGAGACACCCGTCCTGGGAGCAGCACCACTCAGGAGCGCGACCAAATCCCCAACGATCGTTCGGGTGCGAGTTCCGGAGGTTGCTGTGCCGGAGCAGGACGCAGCGTCGCAGTCCAAAGCTGCAGCCCCGCGGCGGAAGATTCCCTGGTCCGGCTTTGAGCAAGCCTTCACCTACGTGCGCCAGAAGGGGAAAAACCTGATCGTGCAATGCAATTACTGTCTGCCAGCGATCAAAAACGTGAGCTCGGCAATCACCTCCTCCTCCAACCTGAAGAAGCACTTGGAGGTGAGCCTCGGCGCCGCTGGCCCTCGGAAGAGGCGAGAGGGAAAGAACTGTATGGCTTAAGGCCAGCTTTCATGGAAGAGTCCACTTCTTCAGACGTTAAGACCTCACTCTTGCGTCTGAAGAAGTTGACTCATCCACAAAAGCTCACCTTAAAATAGAGCAATTAGGCTTTAAGGTGCCACAACATTTTTGTCTCCTCCCTTCCTTTTTACAGTGGTGCCTCGCATAGCGATGTTAATTCGTTCCAAAAAACACATCGCTATGTGAAACCATCGCTATGCGAAACACCATTTCAAATAGAGCAATTAGGCTTTAAGGTGCCACGACATTTTTGTCTCCTCCCTTCCTTTTTATTTAGTTTTTGGCCTGATATGCTTAGCACAGGCTAACATAGCTGCAATTTTCAGAAACTACTACTGCATGGTTCTCCATTAGAAGAGTGATGCAAATAAAAATAAAAGGGTGGTAGCGTTTGATGGTTATTGGATAGTATTGTAAATATTAACCGAGAGAGATTTTGTTGTTGTTTTTATTATTAATCGAAGCATACCCTATGCGAGGCACCACTGTATTTAGTTTTTGGCCTGATATGCTAAGCACAGGCTAACACAGCTGCAATTTTCAGAAACTACTGCATGATTCTCCGTAAGAAGAGTGATGTAAATAAAAATTAAAAGGGCGGTAGCGTTTGATGGTTATTGGACAGTATTGTAAATATTAACCAAGAGAGATTTTGTTATTGTTTTATTATTAATCCAAGCAACATGCTGATTTTTCTCAAAGGAGCTCAGGGCATGGTTAATCATCTTCATAAAAACAGATTTAAAATCCCAGATTCTAACTTTTTTGTTGTTGTTGTTGTTGTTGTTTTGCTTAAAAAGGTCCCTTGTGTACCCACTATAAGTATGTGGAGCAAATCTGGGACATTTTGAAGGAGGACCCATACTGAACAATGTTTTTAATCTTTGTAAAAAAAAAAAATTACCATTGGAAGGTGCAAGGGGCTTTTTTCATTTTTTAAAAGAAAACACATTTTTCTTTGTTAGGTCCAATTTTCAGTTAGTTAAAAAAATGTAGTAATCTTTGTAATACATAGCTACTGCATTTTTTTAAAAAAGGAGAATGCAACCTTCAGGCTGCTGACAAATTTGGAAAAATATCCCTCTTTCTTTTTTTTTTAGACTCCTCACCATGATCTGAACAAATAAATTATAAATGTCTGCAAATAAATCCATTAAAAAAAGTAAAGCTGTGCTGCTGTCAGGCTGCTGACAAATTTGGAAAAATATCTCTCTTTCTTTTTTTTTAGATTCCTCACCATGATCTTAACAAATAAATTATAAATGTCTGCAAAAAAAAAAAATCCATTAAAAAAAAGTAAAACTGTGCTGCTGATATACCGCCCCATAGCACTTAAAGCATTCTCTGGGTGGTTTACAATTGAATTATGTGGGCTACGCATTGCCCCCTCACCCCCCGTGAGCTGAGTACTTAATTTACCAACCTCAGAAGGATGGAAGGCTGAGTGAACCTTGAAGGTTGAACTCCCAAGACTGAACCCCAGGTCATGAGCAGAGTTTGGGCTGCAGTACATGAAAAGTACAATACAAATAAGCTACACCCTGAGACAACTCAAACATCTGAATGTCCTTTAGTATAAATAGGTGTGCTTTTAACTGAAAAGTGGGAGACAAATGGATGTCTAAAGAAACAGAACTCCATACCTGGGGTGCTGTCACTGAAAAGGCTCTGCCACATTGTATAACCCTCTGGGCCACAGTAGCACGACCAGGAAAGCATCTCCAGCTGATCTTAAATCCCAGGTAGGCCACCACTGGGAAAGGCAATCCTTTAAATGTTTATCATGTATGCCAGACAGAATGTGGCCTGTGTCACAGGCAACCTGCTGCAGAGTTTTGAATTTTTCTTTCAATTCCCACAGCTGCACAGCAGAAGGAAGGGATTCACAGAGTAGAATAGCTTCAAGACTCCCAGATTAGTCCATCCCTTTTCCTCATCAACTGCCACTTAACAGCCTCAAGAACTTACTCTTAGACATCAGTAAGAAAACATAAAATGTTTCATTCTTTACAGTTGAACAGCAGCCTGACAAGCAGGCCTGCTTTCAGCAACAGACTTCAACCGTAGAGGGGAAAAGCTGTCAGTGGGGAGGTGGGGCTCTCTTTGTCATCAGAGGCAGGAAAATATAGTGATTGGTTAGTGCTGGGTCGATTGACAGCCACCCTAGCCTAGAAAAGGTCCTCCCCAGCCACGCCTTCTCCAGGCAGCATGAGAGGTTGTGAAAACTCCGACACAACCTAATTCTCTTTTGCTGCAGTCCAGACTCCTGTGTCAAGAATGAGTAGTACTGCCACTTCTAGAAACCTCCCAAGAGCTGAAAGCCAACTTTTAAATGACCAGATGACCCGTGTTTCTCAAAACCAAAGGTGGATTTTTGGACACTCCTAGTTTCATTTTTTGCAGTTTTAAACTGTTTTGTTTTTGTTTTTTAGTCTTTGTATCCACAGCAGCATCATGGGCTCGCTAGCCTCTGACTTCAGTGTTTGAAATTGTGAACACTCTCCGTGTTTCCCCCCTCTAGGATGAATGATATTTTCCTTCTTCCTTCTCAGAGGGCGCACCCTGAAAAACTCAGACTGATTGAGAGCGCCAAAAGGGGACGGAGGCGAGGTTATTCCGAAGAACTGAAGATGGACGACAATTCTCCCGCTCTCAAAATCCCGAAGCAGCTGCAGCAACAGCAGACGGCCGTCGAAAGGTGGGGGTGCGGCAAGGAGAGCGTCACCCAAAGGATACTCGACAAGAAAATAATAGATTTCATCGTGGAAGAGACCCTGCCGCTCCAGATCGTGGACAAGCCCTCTTTTGTCCGCTTGGTCCTCCTTGGCCTTCCGAAAGACCTCACCATCATGTGCGCCAAGACCCTGAAGGACAGGATCGAGAAAAGAGCAGCCAGCATGAGAGACACGCTCGCCAACCGGATGGGGGCTGTGGAGTACGTGGCGACCACGGTGGATTGCTGGCTGGACGGCAAGAGGAGCTTCTTAGGGGTGACGGCCCACTGGATCAGCCCGACGACCCTGAAGCGGGAGTTTGCCGCCCTCGCGTGCAAGCGCGTGAAGGGGAGCCTCAGCCAGCACGCCCTCGCCAAGGCCTTGCGTGACATCCACATGCAGTACCGGGTGCACAACAAGGTGGTGTGCGCCACCACGGACAGCGGGTCCAACTTTGTGAAGGCGTTGCGGGTGTTTAGAGGCAAGGAACCGGGAGACGCGGCAGACGGAAGTGCAGACGATGAGGAGGATGGCGGCAGCGGCAGCAGCAATGACCGGGAAGAAGCTGAGGTGGAGTTTGTGCCTATCTCTGAGCGGTTACACACGGGGATTAAGGCGGAGAAAGAAGCCACTGAGGATTTTGGCCTGCCGGCCCACCAGCGGTGTGTCAGCCACACCCTTCACCTGGTGGCGACGCAAGACCTGGAGGCCCTGATTTCCGACTCCTCTGAAAACAGCCCTTTGGGTCCTTTCAGGAAGCATTTTTCTTCCTTGATGGGGAAATGCAGGAAGCTCTGGTCCAAGCAGACCCAGTCGGCCCAGATTGTCCAGTATATCCACCAGCAGTGCGGCGTCTGCCTCAAGCTGCCCAACAAGGCGAGCTGGAACTCCACCTTTGAGGCCTTGAAGCAACTCAACGAGCTCCTGTCGACGGTCCCGCTCAAGATGGACGCCGTCATGGACCAGTGCTCCTTGGCTCGGATCACGCCGGCGGAGAGCCTGGTGGTGGCGGAGTACACGGAGATCATGGGGCCGCTGGCTCAGTCCCTCGACATCTTGCAGAGGGAGAACGGGATGTTCATGGGGTACCTGCTGCCGACGCTGTACAACCTGGACCGCAAGCTGCAGGGGCTGGAGAATAAGCCCGTCCGGTACACGTACTGTTTCCCGCTCCTGAGGGGCCTGCGGGAAGCCCTGCAGAGGCGCTTTGCGCCCATCTGGGAGGACAGGAAGCTTCTCCTGGCCGCCTGCCTGCACCCCCGCTTTAAAGTGGACTGGCTGGAATCTGCCCAGACAGCCCAGACAAACAGGTAAGGAACTACTGTGTTTCCCCAAAAATAAGACAGGGTCTTAACATTAATTTTTGCTCCAAAAAACACATTAGGGCTTATTTTCAGGGGAACGTTTGTTTTTTTTCATGTACAACCATCTACGTTTATTCAAATACAGCGGTGCCCCGTATGACGACGATAATTCGTTTCATGAAAATCGCTGTTTAGCGAAATCATCGTCATGCGAAAACCCTTTCCCCATTGGAATGCATTGAAACCCGTTTAATGTGTTCCAATGGGGAAATTACCTCGTCGTCCAGCAAAGATCTCCCATAGGGAAGCCATTTTGCGAGCGGCGATCAGCTTTAAAAATGGCTGTCCTGTGAACCATGGGTCTGGAAAACACAGGGGAGCCATTTTGCGAAGCTGACGATCAGCTGTAGAAATTGTCGTCTTGCGAACAAACGGTCTGTGAAGCACAATAAATCGTCGTCTTGCGAACAAACGGTCTGCGAAGCACGAACCAAATCAACATCCAGCAAAAATTGTCCATTCAAATTTCTGTTTTGCAAATTGCTATAGCGATCGCAAAACGTCATTGTTATGCAGATTTGTCATTTAGCGGGGTCATTGTCTAGCGAGGTACCACTGTACAGTCCTGTCATCTTGTGGCTGCTACACAAGGGTGGAGGTCTTGCGAACAAACGGTCTGCGAAGCACGAACCAAATCAACATCCAGCAAAAATTGTCCATTCAAATTTCTGTTTTGCAAATTGCTATAGCGATCGCAAAACGTCATTGTTATGCAGATTTGTCATTTAGCGGGGTCATTGTCTAGCGAGGTACCACTGTACAGTCCTGTCATCTTGTGGCTGCTACACAAGGGTGGAGGGCGGGGTTTCACTTAACTGGGGCTTATTTTTGGGGGAGAGCTTATATTATGAACATCCTGAAAAATCCTACTTGGGCTTATTTTCAGGTTAGGTCTTATTTTCAGGGAAACTGGGTAGGACAGTGCTTCCCAAGTTTGGGTCCCCATATGTTCTTGGACTACAACTCCCAGAAGCCTTTGCCACTAGCTGTGCAGGTCAGGGTTTCTGGGAGTTGCAGTCCAATAACCTCTGGGGACCCAAGGCTGGGAGCCACTGAATGAGGAGGAGTCCATGCTTTTGCTTCTTTCCTCAACAGTGGCAAACATGGGATGTTCCTGCGATCTTGCAAGAGGGATTTGTGAAACTTGACAGTCTTCTCATGTTGTTTGTCCCAGGGACAGGGCATCAGGCGTGCCCACCCTTTGGAGGCTCCATTGGCTTTCAATTCAGTTCTCCAAGAATATTACCTGAGATTATCTTAGAACTGCAAAGCTGGAAGGGACCCTGTGGATCATCAAGTCCAGCCTGCATCAAGGAGGCCCAGAGGGGAGCCCAGCTTGATCAGTGTTCCCTCTAATTTTCCGGAATGCTGGGCGGGGGCAACACTGGCTCGGCTGCACGGCCCCCATGCTGCGCTGTGCGGCCTCGCAGCTCAGAGGGAGCGTTGATCTTGATCTTTCCTATTTCTTCCTAGGCACATGGTCTGTGACTCCAAGCCATGAGTCGTGAATTCTACAAGCCCACCAAGGGCTCCATGAAAAACTGATTTTTTTCCCTCGGTTTTCCAAAGTCAGCTTGTTGCCATCTTCTCTCTTTCAGGTACATGATGGAAGCGCTGGTGAAGGCCGAAATCAGGGGCACCGTCGGAGAGGACAGTGAAGGGTCTTCAGAGAAAGACCAGGAAGGAGACAGCCTGGAGGACGATTTTTTCAACATCCGGCCCCGGGGCCGGAAGTCAGCAGTGGACATTGCCGACGAGGAAGTCTCGGACTACCTGAGGTGTCCCAGCAGAGAAGTCTCGTCGCTCCACGCCTTTCCGCGCGTCATGCAGACTTTCCTGAAGTACAACACGGGGTTGCCGTCGAGCGCCGCCGTGCATCGCCTCTTCGGGACCGAGAGCAGCGCCGTGACGGTCAACGGGTTCTCCATGTGCGACAAGCTGTTTGAACAGCTGGTTCTCCTGAAGCAGAACAAGGCCGTGTTCTGAAGTCGGCTTTTGAAGTGTTAACCATGTAGGGGGTCTCTGAGGATTAAACATATTTCTGTGCATTCTTCTTTGGTATCATTGCTACAGCGGTAGGGTCTGGGCAGACTGTAATAGCCATTTTCTTATTGTGGCATTCTGTTATTAATCCTATGGATAAACTTCTTATTCTATATCTTGTGTGTTTCTGTTTATTTCTAAGGCTGCCGGAGACTACTTTAGGGGTATTTCATATTACAGTCCCATATCTTGTAGTGTTCAGCTGGCTTTTTTTTAAAATAACTTTTAGCTATTGTTGAATAACAAGAAATAAAGGGTGACTTTTTAACATTTTAACTATAACTGTCACCAAATATAGTTTCGAAGGGGAGCCTAGAACTATAACTAATTAATTGTTACCAGTAGTTATTCAGCCTCCTGATTAGAACTTGGCAAAAGAGATGTAAAATTTTGAATCCTGGAAATTTTCTTTGGACTGGCAGAACTACACGGAGTTCCTGGGCATTGCAAAGAAACATCCATTTTAAAATAAAGTTGATTTGAGAGACAGCCTTCCTTGGTTGTGGAGGTCCTATTTTTGTGCAGCTATTCTGGGCGGCCTGATCCAGAAAGCCAAGTCGCGTCAGCCAGAATGTTACCAGCCTAAATTGTCTTGACACAAAAGATGCAGAGGGCACCCAGAAAAAGGGGGTGGCTTTAGTTTTCTTCGATGGACCTGTTGGTTCAGATTTTGTTTCATGCTGCCCCTTACTCGTGTTGGGGAAAGGGATTCTCTTCGTGAACCCCAGGTATGACCGCTTTTTTGGAGGCTGGCTGGTGGGGGGTGGCAGCTTGCATTGAGAATAAGCCCTTTTGTGATCTGGTCTCGGGATCCTTGTCTCAGGACAAGCCCAGGAGGGACGGTTTCCTTGCCGTTTGCTCACAGCAGAGCGCCCAGTGGAGGTTCGTCCGCAAGAAAGGGGCTTTGAATTTTCTGCGTCCTAGTGGGGGGAATCTTGAAGCACCAATCAGTTCCCAGGACAGAATCGCCCTTTGCAGGGACGTGGTGGCGCTGTGGGCTAAACCGCAGAAGCCTGTGCTGCAGGGTCAGAAGACCAGCAGTCGTAAGATCGAATCCACACGACGGAGTGAGCGCCCGTTGCTTGTCCCAGCTCCCGCCAACCTAGCGGTTCGAAAGCATGCAAATGCAAGTAGGGACCACCTCGGTGGGAAGGTAACAGTGTTCCGTGTCTAAGTCGCACTGGCCATGTGACCACGGAAGATTGTCTTCGGACAAAACGCTGGCTCTACGGCTTGGAAACGGAGATGAGCACCGCCCCCTAGAGTCAAACACGACTGGACAAAAATTGTCAAGGGGAACCTTTACCGTTACTTTGGTCCCAGGCACTGGGGGCAGGGGTTTGCTGGAGGGAGAGAAGCCGTGCTCTTACATTTCTCCCAGTCCGAAGGATGCAGAAGCCCTGGAAGGGGAAAGGGTGTGTGTGTGTGTCGCTTTCCCTTTTTTCCCAGTCCCCAAAGTGTGTTAGCCCTGACATATCATGACAGGAAGAGCCTTACGGTGCCTTGGAGCAAACATGGTCAAAGTGGTTTCCACAAGTTCTTTTTTAGAACCCCGGTAAAAATAGGCCAGAAACAACGTGGTTTCTGTTTTTCCAGAAAAAGTCTATTTTAAAAAAAAAAAACCAGTGGTTTTCATCTTCAGAGGTCCTGGGAGAGTCCCCCATGTTCTAAAAAAAAACAAACAAAGAACAGGAACTAGTAGGCACAAATAGGCAGCTCCTGTTTGTTTAAAATTGTCAATTTTGGGGCCTGGCACAGTCCATAGTAGGAGCAAGAAGTGGGCACCTAAACATATTCCTGCCGTCAAGGTTAGCTAAATTATTATAGCATGATGCTCTGAGGAGCATAGCCCACATTGTCCAATGTCTGGGGTGCCATCGTAGAGGTTCAAATATTAAACTCCCCCTCCCCCCATAGTTGAATATGTATCTGAGCCCCTTTTTGGATGCACACCTTAACATGGTGAGGGAGATTGAGTGTACCAGAAGAAGCCAGAGCAGTGCTGGCAGGTAGCTAGACTCCATTACGAGCAGAGACTCTTAGCAAGGTCACTCAAGGTGGAATAATCCCCCCGGCAGATCTGCTTTGATGGTATTCCTGCTGCCTTGAGCAGGGGGTTGGACTTGATGACCTTGCAGGCCCCGTCCAACTTCACTTTTCTATGAGTTCTATGATTCACAGGGGAGGCTCCAGACTAAGAGGCATCCGCTCTCTTCCAGGAATAAGACAATTGGATCAGTAGAAGAGAACAAATATATTTCCAATGGGGATGGATATAGGGAGACCTCTGGAAAGCAGCCCCTGGCGAGCACAGGGAGCTGAAGGCAATGCTCGTAGAGGTAGAGGATCTTTCACAAACAATGGCAGTGTTTTAAGTTTTGTTAGTCCTGCACATATGGTGGCAATGGTAAACCACCGGAGAGGAATGGTGGCTGTTTCTTTTCCTTCTCCATTGGGAAAATAATCTCCACCTCCGTGGTCAATGTTCAAGTGAGCTAAAAAAATGATCCAATGCTATATTTAAATTTAACAAAGGAAAATAGACAGCCATGGTGGTTTATGAGAAAAACAGACACACATAATATGCACTACAGGGCTGTACCTTTGCTAAAACGAGCTAAGATTTTTTTGTATCATTTTGTTCGGTCCTAATAAAAATATCGCACAGCAATTTTGGGGGGGATTAGAGGACTGGGTGATTCCAACATGATGGGGGGAAAAAAACGAACTTTCAGATCTATTTGTTGTTTTCATGTGCCATCAAGCTGACCCCAAATTATGTCCACCCCATGAATGAGTGCTCTGCCAAATGTCATGTCCTCAACAGCCCTCTTCAGCCTTGCAAACTCAAGCCTGTGGTTTCTTTACCACGTCAGTCCATCTTGTATTTGGTCTTCCTCTTTCTCTGCTGCCTTCCACCTTTCCCAGCATGATTGTCTTTTCCACAGAATCCTGTCTTCATATGGTGTGCCCAAAGTAGGACAAACTCAAACTGAAAATTTTTCCCTGTAGAAGAGAGTTCAGGCTTGATTTGATCTAGGGCCCACTTGTTCATCTCTCTGGCAGGCCAGAGTATCCACAAAGCTCTTATCCAGCACTAAATTTCAAACAAATCAACATTTTTTTTCACGTTAGCTTTCTTTTACTGTCCAGCTTTCACACCCATACATGATGGTAGGAAATATGATAGTATAGATGTTTTTGGCCTTCAGTCTCCAGTGACACATCCTAGATGATCTTTTTTTTAAAGTTCCTTTGTTGCTGCCCTTCCTAGCCTTAGTCATCTTCTGATTTCTTGGATGGATGATTGAATTGGAATAAATCTAGAAACCAGCATTTTGATGGTCCCTCATAGTGTATCTGCAAAGCTTTCCTCCAACACTACATTTCTAGTTTCTCTGCCTGCTTTTCTTTCTTGTCCAGCTTTCACATTCATAGGGAATTCCACAGTATGGTTAATCTTTGCCGGGGTCTCCTGCTACACATCCTTACACCCGATAGTCGTCTAGTTCCTTCAAGTCCCAGTCTCCGTTTTTAATGCCTTGCCATTTGTGATCAGTGCTTGAAACAACACACATAGCATTGTTTTTTTTTTTAAACAATT